TTTTAGTCTTTTACTTTTATTTGAAACAAAGAAATGAGTACTGAACTGTTACGTGATATCTGTCCTCCTCTATGGAAGCGAATGCTGGACAATTCAAACAAGAATCCGTCACGAGAAAACAATTTCGATTCATTACAAAATCTATCCAATACCAAATTTATACATGAACGCTTAATCTGATATTAATTTATATCGATATGGAAAAATGTGATAGTGAAAGATACCTTCCAAAAATTAAGCGAAGTGCTGAGAAACAGAACAATTTCATTAGAAACAAAGAAAAGATTGCCGTATTGTGATGTGATATCCATCTTCTTATATGGCAGTGAGTGCTGAAGCATCGCCTCATAGATGAAGAGAAAACTGGAGGCAACAGAAATGTGGTTTTACAGGAGGATATTGAGAATTCCATGGACGAAGCTAGTAAGCAAGGAGGAAGTATTTTAAAAAATGTTACCAAAAAGTAAACATGCTCAGAATCAGGAAGATGCAGCGAAAACTCTTTGGACACATTATGATGAAGGAAAGATTGGAAAACTTGGTCCTCGCAGGAGATATTGAGGTCAAGAGAGATAAGAGTGACAGCAAGCCACTTAGCTGATAAGCTTATGTAAATGAATGGCAGAACAGAGAGAGATCAAAGGTTAGCAGAGAGAGAAAATCTACAAAAGGGCACAAGGAACAGGAAGAGCCAAGATCGCCCATATCCTGAAGGGACGTGGCACAGAAAAGAGATACATTGACTAATTAATGAAGATCAAGGGAATAATTTGGGATATATTATCAAATTAATTGTTGTAGGTCATATTAACTAGTTTAATATTGGGAAAATGTCTTTGGCATTGTGGGTAAAAACAAGTGTTATTACTTTTGATTATCCAGGCGTAACCTGTTACGTTCAGAAATTTAAGTTGGATTTCATGTCATATGGGTAGCAAAATCTGCCGGAATAACCTCTTGGACTTACACTTGCTCTAAAAATAGTGTATTTTGCCTATGCCGTGAGTAAAAAAAAAAAACATATTTGAAATCTCGGTTAAATTAAACTTAGTCACTGCTACTTGATTATTGGAAGATTTACAGTTACTGATTGAAATTTGGTCTCGCGGAAGACATCAAATATGGCAGAACTAAATTTAAATGTTTATAAAAATTTATACTACTATAGTTTGAAACTTGCTTTCAGCATTCAAAATAACTATATGCTATTTTCTTATAAATGAATCTAAAATTAAAACTTCAAAAAAGACATTAAATTATTGCCAACAAAATCTTCAAATATGCACGATCACTGCTTCATATTTTTTATATCTATCAATTTAGAATGAGAAACGTACTGAATTATGTATATCTATCTTAATTTTTAGGATGAGGGGGTTATCATTATTTGCACTTTTTATATCACAGTAAAAATGAGGACAATAGTCCGAATGTAGTATAAACATCTATTTTGGCTTTATATATGCATAATACGAAAGTTGTTTATCGTTTATACTCTTTGATATGAACAAAAATACAGCGACCAATGTTTGTTTTTTTTTTGCGTCACAATGCCAGAACATATGACAAATGTATTTTGGCATCGGAAAATAGAATTTATCAGGAAACTGATTAATTGCTGGTGGCTTATGAATCTAAAAACATCGGTCTGTATCAATCTTCATAAATGCTCTGTCTGAATACTATTACAAAACAATGTTAAATTAGATTTTTCGTCCCAAACAAGGCGATAAAGCCACTAATACGCAAGGGTTTATTTGGGATGAAAGAAATTGTGAAAATGTTATTGAGGCGAGAGAGGACAATAAAAGAATATATTTCAAGGAAACTGAAGATAATGATTGATGTTACATATAAAATCTGGAAGACCGTAGTTGATAGGAAAGCAAGAAACTGGTAGAGAATTCTACAAGCGTGAATTGCGGGAGAAGAAACTATTAGCATATAATTTACGGTTGCATCTAGCACTTTCAACAATAAAATGATGAAACCTAACTGCCAATCTAGTACTATATTTCAATTTGTGAAGTCGAGGTACCAAAGAAGAAAGCTCAACAGAAAAATTACGGCAAAAATATTTATCGAATATGCACACGGGAGTTACGTTAAAATGCACAGAATGTCTGAATCTGAAATGCCAGATCAGGGCCGATAATATTGCAGATGTTCTTTAGGTTCTGTCAAGAATCGCAACATACATAGCGGAAGCAGCAGACCGGATTTGACGGTAATATTCAAAGCAAGGAAGAACTGTAGACTTATAAACGTACAACATAAATTCTGGCGAGAAAGATTATCTTGCACGACACAGTGGACCAAGTCGATTGTTCGAAGGTTCAAACTGTTCTCCAGGGTTCTCCAGAAACCACAGAAGAGGATTTCCAACAATCTGGAAAGCAAGAAGCAGTAAGTTATCTATTGTATAGCCTGGAGAGAACAGCGGCTAGTTCAAGGTGACAGTTCTAAAAGACAATTACAAGGATACTATCGAGTCCGCATGGAAACAATGGACTGAATTATATGCATATGCATGGTAATAAAATTTAACTCTCAATGATGTTATGGCGTCATGTGATGCAGAAAAATCCCTGGAAATAGTCCTGAATACACTAACTACGAAAGGGAGAACTTAAACTGCTGCTGGGTATATTTCTCTGATTGACCCTGTCTAGTATAGTATTTTTTATCATTAGGAATGCACAAGTGGCAAAACTGCTTCTAACCGCTGAAGAGGAAAGTGTTGTGTCTGTAAACTAAGAGACATGGACATCACGCGACCAAAACATCTAAAAGTCGAAGAAGATATCAAATAAAACTTCATCTGTCAGACATCAATATATGTATTCTCATTTGACATTAAAAAGAAAATTTCAACACACACGGATTTTCCTCAATAATAAAAAGCAATCTGAATAATAATAATAAAATGTATTACAAAAACGAATACAACATAAATAGATAGGAACAGAAGATAGATAAAGAGAGAAAGAGAGAGATGTGAAGATAGATAGATAGATAGATAGATAGATAGATATGAACAAAATAAGATAGATAATGAACAAAATAAGACAGACAGACAGACAGACAGATAGATAGATAGATAGATAGATAGATAGATAGATAGATATGAACAAAATAAGATAGATAAAGAACAAAATAAGACAGACAGACAGATAGATAGATAGATAGATAGATAGATAGATAGATAGATAGATATGAACAAAATGAGATAGGTAGATAATGAAAAAAATAAGATAGATATAAACAAAATAAGATATATAGATAGATATGAACAAAATAGGATAGATAGATAGATAGATAGATAGATAGATAGATAGATAGATGTTTTAAATAATTGCAATGAAATGTAACAAAAATTCAGATGAATGAAATTCCCGTCTAAAGTAAACATGATTAACATTACTAGTAACACGATTCAATTTTTCGTATAATTTTCAAATTTCTGTAGATTCTATATATTTTAGGGATTATTTTCTTTTTTTTTCTTTTTTTTTTTTTTTTTTGCTTTTTTCGCACTTTGACCGCTGCTGCTTTAAGCCTTCCTTAATGCCAAACTTTATGAGAAAACAGATAATGTACAAGAAAACACGTGTAGAGTCGAGACGATTATAACTTTTCAAAAACGTAGAAGAGCCTTTTTCCTTACAGAAGCCTATCGCTACTCTGCCGTTATATTCGTGGCAAATGCTCAGATGAGTTCCAATCTTTAATTGCACTAGTTCAAACCTTTATATTCTCGTTGATAATTCACAGAATCCTACAAACTTAACCTCTTCACATGAAGGGTCAGTTGTTATCTATATTCTTTATCGCCATAATATTCACGTCCTAACGGCTCCACTTTCGCTAATATTACATCTCATTCAGCCTAAACATTTTAGTTCCTTCACTTTGGACCTTTACATGTAAGACCCACTATACCCCGTCCTGGGTTTGACAATAAACTACGTCCAACAGCAAAGTCTCTAATCAGGAGGTTTTGAAGAGCGTGGAACCACGTCTTATTTGCTGGTGTTCCCAGGCCCACCCGGACCCAGAGTGGTAGCACCTGTTAGGGTCCCAGCTATGGGCAAATAGTTAACACCCAAACTGTGGTAAAAAAAAAAACTATGAAAGTGTAAAAATAGGTTTTAATACCAGAAATACTTTGTAAAAAGAATATTACCAGCAATAAATGTTTGAAGAAAAATTATTACCAGCAATACATTATTACCAGTAATACATTTTTGAAAAAACATATTAACAGCAATAAAAATCTTTTCGGCATTAATAACCCATTGAGGTTGATATGTCGTAAAACAAACCAAACCAAACTATACATTTTTTAAAAAAATTACCAGCTATACATTTATGAAGAAAAATATTACAAGCAATAAAAATTGTCGGTATTAAGTAACTCAATGTGGTTGATATACCGTAAAACAAAACAAACCAAACCAAATCCACCCTGCCACGTATAAAGGGTCGCATCATTACTTTCGTATTCCATGTGTAAGTAGAAAGTTTCAGTCAAACAGCTTCTTCTTCAGAACCACTATCGTTTCTCCGATCATTACAACTTTTTAACAAGGGGTCATCTGTTATAGACTTTCTACAACTTCATTCAGTAACCCTATAAATTGATTGGCCTTCAAGCCTTGTGCTGATTGAACAATAGTAAAAACAAACCACCATCTTAAGTGGCTCTCGGGCCTTATGAGTGAAAAAAAAAACTACGCCTGTAAAGCAAGATATAAGGAAGACCTGATAATAATAATAATGATGGTGATTCGTTTAAGAAATTTGAAACTGAAAACAGCACTATTTAGTATTTTGATATAATATAATTGGAGTGTGCGGTTCTGTCTTGTGCGCTTAACGACAATCACTTGATTATACCAAGTTGTCAGATGGACACAAGGCCATCGCTCGATCACTTGAGTCGGAGATTCTCTCAGGTACGATTTGAATCATGTGGACATGCGTTGTTTTGGTGGCTGTTAGGTCAATGTGGCCAATAATGACGTTAAACGCAGCAACTGAAGGCCAGATGAGAGGAATAGAATCATGGCGCTTGCATTTTGAGAAAGAAAAGCAATAAAGAAGTTGGAACGAAAAAGAAACAAAATGGATTGATAGAGAAAGAGAAAGAAATGGAATAAAGAAGTGAAGGGGGAGAAATAAAAAGAAAGAGAAAGGAGAGAAAGAGAAAGAAAAGGAGTAAAAGGAGAAAGAGAAAGAAAAGAAACACATAAAGGACTGATAGAGAAAGAAAAGGAATAAAGAAGAAGGAAAGAAAAAGGAAGAAAAAGACACAGAAATGATTGATAGAGAGAAAGAAATTGAATAAAGACAGAAAGAAAAAGAGACTAAAAGGTTTGAGAGAGAAAGAGAAAGTAAAAGAATAAAAAAGAAGGAAAAAAGAAAGAAAAAGAGACAGAAATGTTTGATAGAGGAAGAAAAGGATTAAAGAAGAGGGAACGAGAAAAAAAGGAATAAAGAGAGAAAGAAAAAGAAAGAAAAAAAGACATAAAGGATTGATAGAGAAATGGAAGGAAAAGGAATAAAGGAGAAGGAAATAAAAAGAAAGAAAAATAGACAGAAAGGACCGAGAGAGAAAGAAAAGAAGTAAAGAAGAGGGAACAAAAAAAAAAAAGAAACAAAGGATTGATAGAGAAAGAGAAAGAAAATGAATAAAGAGAGAAAGAAAAAGAAAGAAAAAGAGATAAAAAGAATTGATAGAGAAAGAACTAGAAGGGAAGACTATAAAAAGAATAAACGTAAGAACGAAAAAGAAAGGAAAAATGAACGAAATGAAGAAACACAAGAAAAAGTGAAAAAGAAATGAAAAAAAAAACGAAATAAAGAATACAAGAAAATAAAAAAGAGTGAGTACGAGAAAAAGTGAAAAAGAAAGGAAATGGAAATTAAAGAGAAGTGCGAAAATGAGAAAAGAAAGTGAAAACGAAAGAAAAAATATAAAGAACGAATTAAAAAAAAGGAAAACTAAAACGAGAATAGGGTGAAAGAAAAATGAGAAAAATTGAAAAAGAAAGAAGAGACATTAAGAATAAATTGAAAAATAAATAAAGATCGTAGAAAGTAAAAAAGAAAAGAATTAGCAAGAAAGAGAAAGATGCTTGAGATTAAAAGAAAGGAAAAGGACTGGGATTGGCTAAAAGAGAGAAGAGAAAACGAGAATAGAAAGAAGAAAATCAGAAGAAAAAAAGGAAATTTGGATCAATTGGGGAAAGAAAGGATTAAAGAAATCCGATAGAATAAAGGATTAAAGAAATGAAAATAAGGAAAGAAATAAACAATGAATAACCAATCAAGGACTATATAAAGAAAAAGAAAAGGAGAAATAATAAGTCAAGATTGAATCATCTAAAAAAGGAAAGAATAAATAAAAGGAATTGACCCAAGAGAAGAAAACATGGAAGGCAAGGAACCAAGGAAGCAAAAAGTAAGAATCATGAAAAATGAACAAAGACAAGCGACACAAAGAGGAATAATCATAATGGTAATATTAACCGTTTCCTTTCAAGAAAATATTTGCCAAACATTGACTAAGCAGCCAGTACTGTATTTGATTGAAATTTATATATTTCTATTGAAAGATTTTTTCAGGAACACAGATCTTTCAAGTCCAGTAGCTGTTATCGCTCTTGCCATTACTGATGTGGGTTTTCCTTCCTAATCTTTTATTTGAATTAATGTGGAATGTCAAAATCTTCATTCTGTCATTATTTTCCCTTTGAATTACATTTGCGATCTATTTTACTTGTTCCTGCTGTTGGTAGTCTTTAAGTGATGTGGTTTCTGTTATTAGGTACAGTTCAATGTTTGTGAATCTGTAGCACTAGTTCACAATTTCAATGAAGGATGATCATTGCTATGACCTCCAGCATTCACTCGCTCGAAGCCTTTAATAATAGTAAACATTAACTAATATGAGTTATCTCCCCTATGTATGGATTCTTTGATTGATTGATTTGTTTTTTACGGCTTATCAACCTTTTGAAGGTTATGGAAATGCAGGACATATTTTAGGATTGTAAGAATTTTTTGAGATAATAATAATTTATGACATAATTCCTACTATCTAACCCATAGCTGAGATGAAAAGAATTCCTTTCATACCTTTCCTAAGGGTATTTGCGTGTAAATAAATATAACGAACCCAACTGGAATTCGAACTCGGGTCTCCGATTTCTCATTCTGAGTCGTTATCCCTTGCACCAATCGTACATCAAAGCTTACAATACCTGGTAGTCTATCAGAGTACTGACCAGACTCGACGTTGTTTAAAGATCAGACAAGAACACCTAAGCATTGAAAACGGAATGAGAACAATAGTCGTGGGTTGAATAAATGGTTCCATTCAAAATTCCAAGACATATACTGAGGATAGTCATTTGATAAAAGACCAGACACTACAATGTTGAGAGTATAGCAACAAAGATCTGCATGCATTATCGAAGGTTTATAATAACGACGATTCCTCGTCTGGTCGGCTCTTTGTACTGAAGTAAAAAGTACCTGACTCTTACTATGCTTTATCTATACAAGAGTCAGATTAGACCATAATGGTGTATTGCTGTCATGTCTAGACTGGAGCTGACCAATCCTCATTTTCCCGCCTTGATAGAGTTCAGAAGCACTTAGTCGTTCTTGTAGGAGTTAACATTCCCCACTCTAAAGCCTCTTTCCCACAAACGCAAAGTGGCAAGCCTATCGCTCCCCTATCGTTATTTCTATAGGAAATGTTCAGATGAACTCCACTCTTTATTTCTACTAGTTCAAATCTTTACACCGAAGACACGATCTTTTACGACCACGTAGTCGAATCAACCATATACCCTCCATATTCAATTCTTGAACTTGAACTGCTACTTCGTTGAACAAAATCTCAAGTGGATGCTTTTTCGAACACATTTTAATCTCATGGACAATCACTGTCTACCCTCATCATCTTCATAACGTTCACTTCCTTCCATCACCTTCTGTATTTATAAAGAATGGCCACTAAAAGACTGAATGATATCAAACAATAATAACATGATTTTTATTATTTTTTATTTGGAAAAATTATTAATGGATTTCAGGATCTTCTGAAGCGATGTTCTGGTGATTCCTACTTCAGCAGAACGACGACAGGTAGAAATAGATGGATCCTCAAGGACATTCTGCCGTACAGCTTCCACTGCTGCATCAGTATGCACAGTGTGCTTAAGACACCTTCCCTGAAGATCGTCGATTGATCCAGTTCTTTCAAACAGGACGATTAGGTTCCGAATCATGTTATCGTTAGAATATACTCTGACATTAAAATGTTGCCGGTATTTCCTCTGAGTTTGAATAATTGATCTTTCATTGGAATAGAAAAACTCATTAAGTTTTACTCATTGCTGGACATCATACGTAGCCATTTTAATCTCCAAGGGAGGCTCTATAACCTGCAAAACAAAGTTAAAGAAGATTGAAAACGAACAAATTATGACTTTTTCAAACGCTTCAAATTTTTCTGTGACCACCCTGTATGACGCACCTGATTCAGTTCCCTTCTACCATGAATAATGATTGAGCCTTGTTCTGGGGGGAAGTTTAGTATTTAAAAAATCTTTAAAAATTCCGACATAAAAATAAAAAAAAAATAGACTAAAGTCAGGATGATTGAAATGAATCCGGAAGAAAAAGAGTGTAGATATTCTAAATATTTATTTGACACAAAGTTACAAGGGCAGGGATTTTAGTTATTATCTAATTCGTAAATGAATTAAAGATTGCAGCATTAACTTGTTAAGCACGATTCTGTGGCGATGCTCGTAATTCTTTTTTCCTGTTTAGTTTCTTCTTGTGTTGAGTTTGGGCGCAGTTGAAAAATAACTCCCGAATTTGTTGGCCAGGGCCTGAGATTCAATCATCAAGTGCCTTGAGTAGGTAGTGCTTCCCTGGTTGCTGGAAGACCCTATGTTTGGCAACAGGACTCTGCACCATGCCACACAAGCAGGAGAAATTAGTTACGGTTGTCAGACAATTTCTGCGACCACACCATTCGCTTACATCTGGCCACCTAACTCCCCAGACTGCTAAGCCCCATGATTATTATGTGTGAGGCGCAGTTGAGCGACAGACCAACAAAACTCTTTGTAACACCAAAGATGATCAAGGATTATGGCAGCATTCACCAACTTGAACAAGGAAACCGTCCAGAAGAGTTGAAGTCGACTGGCAGTTGTGGTTGAAGCTAATGGCGATTTTATTGGAATACAAAAGAGTACTCTTTCTTATTTCAAGATATTTCAGTGTGTGAGCGACCATGAATCCACACAAATTCCTACCTTTGTAGTTTTTAGCTATGATTATCTCTTTACTATCCTTTCCTGTTCATGTTCTACTGGTCATTTACACAAACTCATTAAGTTATATACTGTTTTCCGCTGGTACCCTTAATGTCAGTGTCTCCTGTTAGTGTTCAATTCGAAAATGACTCTTTCTTATTATACAAGGTGCAGTGGATAAATTGTCGTGTAAATTACGTAAAAATAAAAATAACACCGACATCTCATTTTAACAGATATATTTACTAAAATTACACAAAAATATCTAGAAAGACTAAAGAGTAAATTTCTTCTATAAAATCACCATCGGCTTCAACTACGGCCTCCAGATGACTTCTCCTGCATCTCTTCTGGACGGTCTCCCAGTTTAAGTTGTTGAATATTGCCGTCATCTTTACCTTTAGTTCATCTTTGATGTTACAAAGAGTTTTGTTGGTCTATCGCTCAACTGCGCCTCATTACTCCAGCACTACCTACTCAAGGCACTTGATGTAGGCCTTCGTATTGAATCTCAGGCCCTGACCAACAAATTCTTATCAGAACGACCAGAGTGAGTTTTCCGAGCTGCTGTACCTTTGTAATCACCATTAGACTCTCCAACTTTTCAAATCTTCTGCACTGACCTCAGATTGACATCTAAACACTCTTAAATATTCGTATTGGAGCTTCCGGTGCGAATGCCAAGCAGTATAGCATGTCGTTTTCAAATTCCTAGCGGAGTAAATTGCGCCATGCTGCTCTTGCTCGCAGTCCAATTGCCCTTATAATACTGTGCATTCGACAAAAACAAACAACGTGCATGCGCGAAATTAAAAATATAAAATGTCGACAATTTCTCATCGTACACTGTATCTGCCAGAAATTTCAACTTTCTTCTTCTGATTCTATATATACGTGTCCCTTTTGGAGGTTTTTTATCCATAAAATTGTTTCGTTGCTCACATATTAAATCCATAGTATTCTCTGTATCCTTCTGTGCGATTACATCTCCATTACCTCAACTCTCGTCTTTACCTGTGAGTAAACTGTCACGTCCACATAAAAGGATTGATAATCTATAAAGATTCTTTGTATCTAATGAAATTTTCTTGTTTCTTAATACTTTTCTTAGATTTTGGAAGGCATCTTTCCTCATTCCAATGTGCTTTCAAATATTTATGTCACCTTTTACATCGTCTCTTATAGCAGTACCTCGATAACTTCTACCTGCTTGATTTTGACGTTTCCAATTCGGAACATCTTGTATTGTTCCTCTCACGGGTGACCAGACCTTCTCATGGAATTGGTAGTTAGTCTTTTATTCACGCTTTCACTTACTATATTGTATAGGAGCTCCTTTAGGTCGCACAAGTGGAGCAGATCGCGAAGGGTAGTCTTACTCTCCAGTCACAGTAAACGTCTTTAGTTATTTACTAAGTTTGGCAAACTGAAGAACTGGTCTGCAAATCGGCCTTGTTAACTTTCTTTAAATGATAAACACCAGTTCGTAGACTTAAAGTAGTTAATCATGGCCGTATCCATTGTGGATCATGCATTAATTTAATTTTTGCTTTAATTTCTTTGACTCATGCGCACCACAGATTCTGATGACCTTCTTCATCTATGCCCGTGTTCAACTGTCAATCAACCTCGATGCTTTCGAATCTTTTCCTGCGGCGCCCGTCACGTGATTTCCCATTTGCTCGAATTTGCATACACATGTTATCGGCCGTGTACGGCAACATGATTGCCACGTGTCATAAGTCCGGAAAAAAAAAGACTGGCTTTCCTATTCAACGGGAAATATTAAATCTCTCACTCTTTCTCTCTCTCTCTCTCTCTCTCTCTCTCTGTCGTACTTTCTTTTCTCTCTCTCTCTCACTCTTGTTTTTTTCTCTCTCTTTTTCGTTCCCGCTCTTTTTGCAGGTTGTCGTTACTGAAGACAGATATTTATTATTTGTTTTGTAGGGAGGCACGTTGGCGCCCAACATGTCCGTCTGGTGGACAGTCTGAGATTTCATTCAACCAGAAACTTTCTATATAGACCCAATATATAATAGTTTATGTATATAAAAAGGTACGTAAATAAATAAAAAAGAACAATTCTTGCATAGATACAAAAAATGACATTAATTTATATTGTTCTAACCAGTGTAGTGTAAATGTTATTGGCGCTGTAAGTAACATCGGCGATCCGAATTCAAAATTCAATTTATTCTGCCTCTTTCAGTTCATGTTTAATGCTCTTGCAAAGGGTATGAGCCTACGCCCAGCTATGGGTTAAATAGCAGAGCAAATTTATTTTTCAACTTTGAAGAGCAAAAAGAACAATTCTGAATTCAAAATCATTCCAAAGCCTAATTGTTACCATCAGACTATATTGTCCTAGATAATCCTCCGGCTACTCATTTATATGTGATACCGTCCCAATGGCTTTCAATATTTGTGATCATGAAGACGATCCATCCTAAAAAAACAAGATGAAAAAAACATTGAAAGATTATTGATACATATCACTTAATGATTGAAACAAATTGATGTTTTATTATTAAAAAAAATAAACATCCAACTTAAATATTACTAATAACATAAAGGTCAAATACAGGGAGTTCCAAAAGTCTTGGTCACATTTTGACATTCAATATCTCCAAAACTATTAAGGATATAAAAACGCGCCTGACATAGTTTGAAAGAATTTAATCTCAAGTTTTACATGGAATGTTCAAAGATGTTTAATGTGAGTACCGTTGGTCACATGGCACACATCAAATCCGTCATCTTCCAACTTCTCTTGCATTACAATGCAAAAGTCCTGCAACTATTGGGTTAACTGTAGCTTGTAAGGTGTCATGTGCAGTTGTCTTTTTAAGACGCCAAACAGTTGTTTTAGGAAGCTGAAGTTCTTTACTGGCTCTTCTGATCAATTTACGGGGAGGGGGGCTCCGCTCGAAGGCAGTTCGAATTCACTCAACCGTATCATCTGAAGCTAGGGGGCGTCCCGTTCTCTTAGCTGGGCATAAACACTCATCCTTCATGAATTTACCATGCCATCTCAATATGGGGTTTCTTTCTGGTGCCTTTTTTCGGAATTATGTGCGAAATGCACGTTGAACAAGTGTCCATGATTCAGTTTTTGCAAATTTAAGGACGCAAAACGCATTTTTTGGTTGAGTGAACGCCATTACTGGATTTGGAAAAATATGAAAAAATCATTAGCATTCCAAAAAACTTAATGAATTTAGCTTTAAAATGGTACCAGTTTCATCTTACTACCATTTCTAGTTCAGTAAATATGAGGACTTGAAATGTACCTAAGACTTCTGGAACACCCTGTATTACCCAAATATAAACCTTGTTTATAAATTCTTGTGATTTTTGGGAGATTATATTTCTAGTATCAGTCATAAAAAAAGTACTTAACATTAGCTATCCTACAACTACACTATCTTGGAGATTAACTCGCTACTTATCGAATCTTAATGCAATAGCGGTCACCACATTAGAAAAAAATCAATATGACTATTAACATTAGTAGAATATATCGAAATATGATATAACACTTATAGTAAAGAAAAACTCAAAATAGTTAAGGTATTAGTATATACAAAAGAAATAACTCGTAGTAAATACTTATTCAACTCTTGTGAAAGGCTTTTTAATATTTGCTGAATAAAATATTTAAATGTATACCCTTACATATAATTATAAATCGTTCTATTCATGATTACACGTATATTTAAATCAAAACACAGTTTCAATAAAAACGTTAGGATGAAGCTGATAAAACCTTTTTCTATGACATGGATTATCGTTCTTGATAATGACTACTCGTCAAAAGTACTTGAAGATCACAGAGTTAATGGCGCAGCTTATATCGAATGATAGAGTGATCAAAACCTATGCGTTATTCTCACCATATTGCCATGTGGCCTTCAAGTGCTCTTTTTTTTTAAACCTTTTGTCATATTAGGTATGAAACCTCGTAAAAAGAGTGACCAACCAGCGATCCAAATATACCAAGGATACAAAGGTAACTATTTTTGACTTGATAAACAACATGAATAAGAACCCTCTCATCTGGACAGACAATCCATGAGAGAGAAATATATATATATATATATATATATATATATATATATATATATATATATATATATATATATATATAAAACAATAAGAAGTCAGTTTAAAGTAAAAAACCACAGCATTCTATGCGTACGCATATACACACCTACGCACACATATATTATGAAAGAAAAAAAAAATTTCACCAATGAAAAATGAATATATATAAGTGAAATCAGGGAGTACAGACAGTCACATGATGATATCCCCTCACACCTTACGAGGGAACGAAGTGATTCCCGGATGTTCTGTTTAGGAAACTCTGTTGAAGATAACTTCAATCAGCTAAGTGAAAAAGTTTTTACTTACATTATATATATATATATATATATATATATATATATAATTTATGAAAAACTTGGTAATCCGTATGGGTAATCCCAAGGAGGATGAAATATAAATATTTTAAAGAAAAACAAACCACTTTAAGGTTTCATTATAATAATTTATTTCACCAGAGCCCTGATGATCCGGCGTCCTTTAAAAAGAGCTCTGGTGAAATAAATTATTATAATGGAACCTAAAGTGGTCTGTTTTCTTTCTGACGATCGCTAAAGCGTGAAACCCAGGGTCATAAACTCACATCTATCCAACCAAATATGTCAGCTCTATCTCTGATATTGATCGCTTTCTAATAAGTACCGCGCATATAATATATAAATAATTATACATATATATATTTATTTATATTTATATACACTTTTACACACACACACACACACATATATATATATATATATATATATATATATATATATATATATATATATATATATATATATATGGAGCCGATCATAGTCCCAAATCTTAAAATCCCAAATGTCGAAATCATGAAATATCGAAAGATCTGAATGACGAATTTATAAAATACTGAAAAATCAGAATCCCGAAACCAGCCTTTGGGAGAAATTGAAAAAATTGTTGAAGTTACCTTCATTTCTGAACATTTACAAAATAGTGTTTACGTTTGAAACATTCAAAATTCATAAAAATATATAAAAATAGAATATGGCATAGGCGATGGGAATATTTAGTAGGCAATGTTCATGTCGGTGTTTAGTACATTATTGGAGAGTTTCAAAAGAGCAACAGCACATAGAAGACGAATGTGAACGCATTCTCCGATTTTATTTTATTCTGATGAAAGGCTTAAAAAAATATAGTTAACGATCGTGATAACCGACCTGGTCTTATGGACTATCGTAGAACTCTTTCATTTAATTTTTCATTATAAATTATTCATATATTTTGGTTTTATAATTTTAATAAATTTTGAATGTTTCAAATGGAAATACACTATTTTAAACGTATTTTGTAAATGTTTACACATGAAGATATATCCCATTTTTTTTGTTGTTGTCAATTTCTCCTAAGGATTATTTTTCGGGATTCTGATCTTTCTGGATTTTATTTTAAATGTCGGGATTTTGATACAGTCGGGTTTTCAATTTCCGGGGTTTTAAGTTTCAGGATTTCGACATACGGAATTTTAATTTTGATTATTATAATATATATATATATATATATATATATATATATATATATATATATATATATATTTATTATTATTATTATTATTATTATTATTATTAGAAATCTTATAAGTATAAAAAACTATACTGCTCGGAAAACCTATATATATATATATATATATATATATATATATATATATATATATAAAAACAAAACCCTGTTTAATCATGTTTCAGATGTTTTCGACTTAACTTTAAAATATATATCCCAGACTGTATATGCCCCCACCCGGTCGCACGCATGTTGAACGTATGTATGTACGACAGCAAAATGGTCTGCAATTTATCTCCTGCAATCACCAGCACCTAAACACGCGTCCACGCAAAGTTCCGTCGGCGCATGTGCAAAACGCCATGTGTGGTTCACGCGTTTATCTGTAGACACGTGTTAGGAGAAGCGCTAAGCACATGGGCACACGTGAACGCGAAATAACAAAAACTCTCATTCATACGAATGCATTTAAATCTTGTGCGCACGCGCCCTTGGCCACATACACGGAGGATCCCGAAGTGGTTTTAAACACTTAAGAGTCGGAAAAAATACAGATGTTTTTAATTACACAGCGACAGAAATCCAGGTTATTTAAGAAAAGAATTAGAAGTTGTCACTCTCTTGTCTACATACGCTTTTTTTTTTATCTGAGAGTTATTGGTGCAACAGAATCTTTCTGTCCAACCTGTATTTGTCCTAATTTAGACTTCTGTATGAATAAAATAATATTATTTACGTTATTATACAAGCGACTACTAGAAGTTGGATTAAAAAGTTTAGGATAGTCAAGGTTGACAATCAGCAGCAGCACTAATTTGTAGATAGGTGAAGTTTAAGATTCAAGCTCCCCACCACGGGACAAATATGGGTTAAAGCGTTGATTTGTGAATTTGAATTTGACATTTATTAATATCTATTCTATTCTCTGGGTCCATCAGTATTTACTTGAACTCGGTGGAAACTGGGGAGCAGTAACTGAACCGTACTAAACAAGAACTAGATGAGCTATCCCTAGGGAGTATATTCTCGTAGATTAAATAAAGAGTTCCATCAGGGGCCTGTCGAACCGAGTAACCTACAGAAATTTTCGAACTGATCCCTTTATTTAATCAAGGCAGCGGAACGAGAACAATCTATCAAAATAAAATATTATTTTAAATTATTAATATTAAAATGTTCAGTTCAAAGTTTCCTCTCAGTTATCTGGTAGGCAATAACGGCCAAAACGTTGTGATAACAACAACAAAAATGAGTATAATTGTCAGCGGGTAAATAAAAATGCGTGAGTCAAAAAAAACATGGTTGTATTTTCAACAAATTGCGAGATCTATTCTTAGTTCGTGCTTTGTGTACTTGGACGGGGTGAGCAATAAGTGAGATGATCTAATTAAGAACTAGACGAGCTATCCACAGACATGAACAGGTGGGAGTGCAACTAGCACGCAAGGGGTTACAGAGAGTGGGAGCAAGAGGAAAGAGGCGTGATTGTGGAAAGGATGAAGAGAAGGACAGAGAATTACATCAAGCCATCTAAAGATCTCGATTCTCATTGCATTTGAATATTTGAACATTATAGCTATCAGGGGGGGGTCTAAGAGAGTGTAGAAACTTTCGGTAATAATTATTTCTCCGAGCGCTTTCGATCAATTCATTAGCCATTTTCAAGGGCTTCGTTGTTAATATGTTTACCCTAGTTTCAGTTTTAAATCCAAACCAATTCCGATATTATGAACAAACAATAAATTTGGTTTACGTAAGAGTCTCTTGGTCAGGCCGAGAACGTTTCTTGAAGATCTTGTATTTAGATACTCTCTCGTATCTCGGTGGATTTGCGGAGATTTGCTTTCATTGTAGTTTTAATTGTAAAGCCTAAAAATTTCAAACATTTTTTCGCTCATATTAACACAGGTTCATCTTTGCTCAGATGCGAAAATCGCATATGCAGACGCACATTCTCCTACAATCATACGCGCACGTGTTTACACTAATATTTGACCCATCCGGAGATACACCAATTTCTTCCTCCGTGTGTATGATGTCACCGGTATTTTCAACGTTTAAATCTGCCAATCACTAAATAACACGTGACAGACTGCCGTTTTTTCCATCGCATGTCTCTTGCTCAGAAAACATTTCAATTGTAATTGATCTCAACTGTTAAGCAACTCCAGCGACAGCTTTGTTTTTTGGTTTCCAAATGGCTAAATTGAAACAGACGTAAATGATTTTGTTGCTTTCAAATTTTGCCCCCGACGTCAGGTTTCCTTAACTGCCAGTAAGAACGCCATCTTGACACTGCGTCTATCATTGTTTTATTAGAGGTTTATGGATTGAGATTTTTCTAAAAACCATTTTGTCAAAAGATATTTGTCTTTGTTTTTTTTTTTTGTTTTTTTTTGTTGTTTTTGTCTTTTTGGCTGACGCAGTCTTGCGACAAAGGCAATTCTCTTCTAATTTTTGGCTTAAAATTGTCAACGGGTATATTCTGTCGGTTCTTAGCAGAATACCCAGTGTCTCGAATATATTCTGAATATGCAAGCAAATAGAGAAACTATGCGGGTACCAGGAGGTGTTGCTGAAAATTTCTGCCAAAATCTGACCGAATGAGCAAATATCAGTTAGGTCTTTTATTATTTTGGAAGACTTCTTGGACTGGTAAGAATTTTTTAGTTTACTCTTATAAGGGTAAGTATCTTTTAAGCAATGAATCTTCCCACTTTTACTTTTTTCATTAGAAATAATTACTTTCCAAACGTAGACCTACTACGAAGCATATCTATCTGCTTCTTCTTCTCTCTTCCTTTTCGCACAAAAAATTATTTTCCTCTTCCTCCTCTTCTGCTTCCTCTTCTTCTTCATCAGGATTTTCTTCCTTTTCCTCTTCGGCAAAATGCTTTTCCTCTTTTTTTCTTCTTCATACAGATTTTCTTCCTTTTCCTCTTGTGGAAAAATCGTCTTCTTTCTTTTCTTCTTTTTCTTCTTATTTGTTGTTTATTCCCTTTCTTTGCCATAGTGATCTGCGTGTCTATCAATTCCTTATTATTGCTGCTATTCTTGTAGTTTTGATCACTGTTGTATTTCCTCCTCTTCCTCTGCCCCTTCTTCTCCTCCTCCTCCTCTTCTTCTTCTTCTTCTTCTTCTTCTTCTTCTTCTTCTTCTTCAACGAATTATCTCACAACTTAATTCTCGCCCAACTCTTTCCCACATCGTTTCACCCGACCTCTTTCATAATCCCGTTCGTTCTCTTTTTACGTTTTACTTTTTTAGATATACAAAATCTAAACCTTTCACCTGTTTCCAACACATCCATTGGATCCTTCTTCTTCTTCTTCTTCTTCTTCTTTTTCTCCTCTTCCTCTTTCCTCCTCTTTCTTATTCTTATTCTTCTTTTTCTTTTTTTTCATTTTCCCCCTTTCAACGAAATACCTATCTTTTTATTCTTCTCGCATTTCTTCCCCGCAGATCCATGGTCACATGGCACACATCAAATCCGTCATCTTCCAACTTCTCTTGCATTACAATGCAAAAGTCCTGCAACTATTGGGTTAACTGTAGCTTGTAAGGTGTCATGTGCAGTTGTCTTTTTAAGACGCCAAACAGTTGTTTTAGGAAGCTGAAGTTCTTTACTGGCTCTTCTGATCAATTTACGGGGAGGGGGGCTCCGCTCGAAGGCAGTTCGAATTCACTCAACCGTATCATCTGAAGCTAGGGGGCGTCCCGTTCTCTTAGCTGGGCATAAACACTCATCCTTCATGAATTTACCATGCCATCTCAATATGGGGTTTCTTTCTGGTGCCTTTTTTTCGGAATTATGTGCGAAATGCACGTTGAACAAGTGTCCATGATTCAGTTTTTGCAAATTTAAGGACGCAAAACGCATTTTTTTGGTTGAGTGAACGCCATTACTGGATTTGGAAAATATGAAAAAAATCATTAGCATTCCAAAAACTTAATGAATTTAGCTTTAAATGGTACCAGTTTCATCTTACTACCATTTCTAGTTCAGTAAATATGAGGACTTGAAATGTACCTAAGACTTCTGGAACACCCTGTATTACCCAAATATAAACCTTGTTTATAAATTCTTGTGATTTTGGGAGATTATATTTCTAGTATCAGTCATAAAAAAGTACTTAACATTAGCTATCCTACAACTACACTATCTTGGAGATTAACTCGCTACTTATCGAATCTTAATGCAATAGCGGTCACCACATTAGAAAAAAATCAATATGACTATTAACATTAGTAGAATATATCGAAATATGATATAACACTTATAGTAAAGAAAAACTCAAAATAGTTAAGGTATTAGTATATACAAAAGAAATAACTCGTAGTAAATACTTATTCAACTCTTGTGAAAGGCTTTTTAATATTTGCTGAATAAAATATTTAAATGTATACCCCTTACATATAATTATAAATCGTTCTATTCATGATTACACGTATATTTAAATCAAAAACACAGTTTCAATAAAAACGTTAGGATGAAGCTGATAAAACCTTTTTTCTATGACATGGATTATCGTTCTTGATAATGACTACTCGTCAAAAGTACTTGAAGATCACAGAGTTAATGGCGCAGCTTATATCGAATGATAGAGTGATCAAAACCTATGCGTTATTCTCACCATATTGCCATGTGGCCTTCAAGTGCTCTTTTTTTTTAAACCTTTTGTCATATTAGGTATGAAACCTCGTAAAAAGAGTGACCAACCAGCGATCCAAATATACCAAGGATACAAAGGTAACTATTTTGACTTGATAAACAACATGAATAAGAACCCTCTCATCTGGACAGACAATCCATGAGAGAGGAAATATATATATATATATATATATATATATATATATATATATATATATATATATATATATATATAAAAAAAACAATAAGTCAGTTTAAAGTAAAAAACCACAGCATTCTATGCGTACGCATATACACACCTACGCACACATATATTATGAAAGAAAAAAAAAATTTCACCAATGAAAAAAATGAATATATATAAGTGAAATCAGGGAGTACAGACAGTCACATGATGATATCCCCTCACACCTTACGAGGGAACGAAGTGATTCCGGATGTTCTGTTTAGGAAACTCTGTTGAAGATAACTTCAATCAGCTAAGTGAAAAAGTTTTTTACTTACATTATATATATATATATATATATATATATATATATTTATGAAAAACTTGGTAATCCGTATGGGTAATCCCAAGGAGGATGAAATATAAATATTTTAAAGAAAAACAAACCACTTTAAGGTTTCATTATAATAATTTATTTCACCAGAGCCCTGATGATCCGGCGTCCTTTAAAAGAGCTCTGGTGAAATAAATTATTATAATGGAACCTTAAAGTGGTCTGTTTTTCTTTCTGACGATCGCTAAAGCGTGAAACCCAGGGTCATAAACTCACATCTATCCAACCAAATATGTCAGCTCTATCTCTGATATTGATCGCTTTCTAATAAGTACCGCGCATATAATATATAAATAATTATACATATATATATTTATTTATATTTATATACACTTTTACACACACACACACACACATATATATATATATATATATATATATATATATATATATATATATATATATATATATATATATATATGGGAGCATCATAGTCCCAAATCTTAAAATCCCAAATGTCAGAAATCATGAAATATCGAAAGATCTGAATGACGAATTTATAAAATACTGAAAAATCAGAATCCCGAAACCAGCCTTTGGGAGAAATTGAAAAAAAATTGTTGAAGTTACCTTCATTTCTGAACATTTACAAAATAGTGTTTACGTTTGAAACATTCAAAATTCATAAAAATATATAAAAATAGAATATGGCATAGGCGATGGGAATATTTAGTAGGCAATGTTCATGTCGGTGTTTAGCACATTATTGGAGAGTTTCAAAAAGAGCAACAGCACATAGAAGACGAATGTGAACGCATTCTCCGATTTTATTTTATTCTGATGAAAGGCTTAAAAAAATATAGTTAACGATCGTGATAACCGACCTGGTCTTATGGACTATCGTAGAACTCTTTCATTTAATTTTTCATTATAAATTATTCATATATTTTGGTTTTATAATTTTAATAAATTTTGAATGTTTCAAATGGAAATACACTATTTTAAACGTATTTTGTAAATGTTTACACATGAAGATATATCCCATTTTTTTTTGTTGTTGTCAATTTCTCCTAAGGATTATTTTCAGGATTCTGATCTTTCTGGATTTTATTTTAAATGTCAGGATTTTGATACAGTCAGGTTTTCAATTTCCGGGGTTTTAAGTTTCAGGATTTCGACATACGGAATTTTAATTTTGATTATTATAATATATATATATATATATATATATATATATATATATATATATATATATTATTATTATTATTATTATTATTATTATTATTATTATTATTAATAGAAATCTTATAAGTATAAAAAACTATACTCGCTCGGAAAACCTATATATATATATATATATATATATATATATATATATATATATTAAACAACCCCTGTTTAATCATGTTTCAGATATTTTCGACTTAACTTTAAAATATATATCCCAGACTGTATATGCCCCACCCGGTCGCACGCATGTTGAACGTATGTATGTACGACAGCAAAATGGTCTGCAATTTATCTCCCCAAATCACCAGCACCTAAACACGCGTCCACGCAAAGTTCCGTCGGCGCATGTGCAAAACGCCATGTGTGGTTCACGCGTTTATCTGTAGACACGTGTTAGGAGAAGCGCTAAGCACATGGGCACACGTGAACGCGAAATAACAAAACTCTCATTCATACGAATGCATTTAAATCTTATGCGCACGCGCCCTTGGCCACATACACGGAGGATCCCGAAGTGGTTTTTAACACTAAGAGTCGGAAAAAATACAGATGTTTTTAATTACACAGCGACAGAAATCCAGGTTATTTAAGAAAAGAATTAGAAGTTGTCACTCTCTTGTCTACATACGCTTTTTTTTTATCTGAGGTTATTGGTGCAACAGAATCTTTCTGTCCAACCTGTATTTGTCCTAATTTAGACTTCTGTATGAATAAAATAATATTATTTACGTTATTATACAAGCGACTACTAGAAGTTGGATTAAAAAGTTTAGGATAGTCAAGGTTGACAATCAGCAGCAGCACTAATTTGTAGATAGGTGAAGTTTAAGGATTCAAGCTCCCCACTCACGGGACAAATATGGGTTAAAGCGTTGATTTGTGAATTTGAATTTGACATTTATTAATATCTATTCTATTCTCTGGGTCCATCAGTATTTACTTGAACTCGGTGGAAACTGGGGGAGCAGTAACTGAACCGTACTAAACAAGAACTAGATGAGCTATCCCTAGGGAGTATATTCTCGTAGATTAAATAAAGAGTTCCATCAGGGGCCTGTCGAAACGAGTAACCTACAGAAATTTTCGAACTGATCCCTTTATTTAATCAAGGCAGCGGAACGAGAACAATCTATCAAAATAAAATATTATTTTAAATTATTAATATTAAAATGTTCAGTTCAAAGTTTCCTCTCAGTTATCTGGTAGGCACAACGGCCAAAACGTTGTGATAACAACAACAAAAATGAGTATAATTGTCAGCGGGTAAATAAAAATGCGTGAGTCAAAAAAAAAACATGGTTGTATTTTCAACAAATTGCGAGATCTATTCTTAGTTCGTGCTTTGTGTACTTGGACGGGGTGAGCAATAAGTGAGATGATCTAATTAAGAACTAGACGAGCTATCCACAGACATGAACAGGTGGGAGTGCAACTAGCACGCAAGGGGTTACAGAGAGTGGGAGCAAGAGTAAAGAGGCGTGATTGTGGAAAGGATGAAGAGAAGGACAGAGAATTACATCAAGCCATCTAAAGATCTCGATTCTCATTGCATTTGAATATTTGAACATTATAGCTATCAGGGTAGCAAGTAAGAGGAAGGGTGTTCCACACACGGGAAGTGCGAGACCTGAAGCTATTGGAGTAGAAGAGACGGCTACATTTAACACTTTCAACAGTGGAATGGTGGGACTGAGATGACATCTCAGGTGCATGCTTCGAGTTCCAAAGATGCTGAGATAAATGTAAAGGCATATTCCCATCCTACCAGAGTCCCCGTACCAGTAAAATCTAGAAGGGGATCAGGTAAAGCATATATGCACTTAAAAGACCCTAATTTAGTGGATGAGATCAAAATTAGGCAAACTGGTTTCAAAGAAGATATCCGCAATCGAATCCATCGGTTGCTCGTTGCAGTTGACTGAATGTTCCTCTTGGTGGCAACAAGAAATATTCAGAAACTAAACGTGCGTATAACGCGGTAGGAAATTGTGAGCAACGACATAAATTATTTTATTTCCTTGTAAATATCTCCAAGCTGATCGTTGATGATAACCTTAATGAAGTGATCTTATATTGATCTTTTTCTTGACAACGTCATCATCTTTGGATAGTCACATAATCTTACTGCCTATAATATTAGCCAACAAAGTTACTCTGCCTGAATGTTGTTTTTTTCAGTGTCAATGGCCACAAGGGATCCATCATACAACTCTACATTCGTTACCAAAAAATAGGGTTCAAAAATCAGTTTTCAGGCGACTTTTCACCGAACTTTCTCTCTATGAACATTTTCTTTAGAATATTTAAGTAAAGGTCGTATTGTGGTTCATAGCATAGAAGATGTTCTGAATAGTCTGCATTTTTCCACTTGTTTGAATTTAAATTAGCTTCTTTAAATATGTTCTTCACGGTAAATCCTGTTACCTTGATTATTTTCATTTTATCACAAATTTAATTTTGCGACATTATTGAAATCAGATTTTCGTTCTTATTTTCCCAAGGTTTTTTAATTCTTCTTTTGATTTTTCCTTCATCTTTTGATTTTTCCTTCACCTTTTAATTTTTCATAAAACTTTTAATTTTTCCTTCATCTTTTGTTTTTCCTTCAACTTTTGATTTTTCCTTCAACTTTTAATTTAACCTTCATTTTTGATTTTTTCCTTCATCTTTTGATTTTCCCTTCAACTTTTGATTTTTGCTTCATTTTTTTATTTTTTTCCTTCATCTTTTGATTTTCCTTCATTTTTTTTAAATTTTTCCTTCATTTTTTTAAAATTTTCCTTTATCGTTTGATTTTTCCTTCATCATTTGATTTTTCCTTCATCATTTGATTTTCTCCTAAATAATAATAAATTGTAACCATGGAACATTAGTTTTTGTCAAGACAGCACATTATTTTGAAAATCGCCGGTTCGTTTGTGCACAATGTTCGCAAGCAGATGGGAAACACCAGCGAGGATGTGTCGTTTGCAGCAAAGCATTCAAAGATTTCGGACAGTATCAGGAGACCCCAATTCGTACAGCAGATGCAGAACATTATCCATGCGAATCCCGTAACGTCCATGAGGGTCATTGCCAGAGTTCAAAACGTTAACTGGAGAAATGACAGGTCGTTATGTGCCGTTCCTTCTGATGTTATGTGCACCAGATTTGATAATCTTGGCGGTGCTGAGTAGTGAAGGGCACTCCATGATAAAATATAATATAGAATATGGTTTTAAAGTATGCTATATTAAATAGTTAAAATGCTCAGTAACATAGAGGCTATACAAATATAAAAGTGGATACTGAAGTCAAAACCCAGAAGCGACAGTCTATTTCATGCTTAAACGTAATCCTCAGGCCATTACGTTTAAGGATGAAACAGACTGTCACCTTTGAGTGTTGACTTTAATGTCCACTTCTATCTCCTCTCTCTCTCTCTCTCTCTATATATATATATATATATATATATATATATATATATATATATAAAAAAGTGAACATAGAAGTCAACACTTAGAGGCGACAAACTGTTTCATGCTAGATGAAAACGTCAGGCCTGACGATTGCATCTAGCATGAAACAGAGACTGTCGCCTCTAGATGTTGACTTCTATGTTCAATTTTATATTTACACACGCTCTATCCCTGATATTGAGCACTTTATCCCATAAATATAGCACATCTTAAGACTATATTTCTTCATATATATATATACACTTGTTTCATTTGAATGCAACAGACAAGGAAAATGTTATAAATTTTTATAATGTTGTTATATGGCAGGGGGGGGGTCTAAGAGAGTGTAGAAACTTTCGGTAATAATTATTTCTCCGAGCGCTTTCGATCAATTCATTAGCCATTTTCAAGGGCTTCGTTGTTAATATGTTTACCCTAGTTTCAGTTTTAAATCCAAACCAATTCCGATATTATGAACAAACAATAAATTTGGTTTACGTAAGAGTCTCTTGGTCAGGCCGAGAACGTTTCTTGAAGATCTTGTATTTAGATACTCTCTCGTATCTCGGTGGATTTGCGGAGATTTGCTTTCATTGTAGTTTTAATTGTAAAGCCTAAAAATTTCAGAAACATTTTTTCGCTCATATTAACACAGGTTCATCTTTGCTCAGATGCGAAAATCGCATATGCAGACGCACATTCTCCTACAATCATACGCGCACGTGTTTACACTAATATTTGACCCATCCGGAGATACACCAATTTCTTCCTCCGTGTGTATGATGTCACCGGTATTTTCAACGTTTAAATCTGCCAATCACTAAATAACACGTGACAGACTGCCGTTTTCCATCGCATGTCTCTTGCTCAGAAAACATTTCAATTGTAATTGATCTCAACTGTTAAGCAACTCCAGCGACAGCTTTGTTTTTTGGTTTCCAAATGGCTAAATTGAAACAGACGTAAATGATTTTGTTGCTTTCAAATTTTGCCCCCGACGTCAGGTTTCCTTAACTGCCAGTAAGAACGCCATCTTGACACTGCGTCTATCATTGTTTTATTAGAGGTTTATGGATTGAGATTTTTCTAAAAACCATTTTGTCAAAAAGATATTTGTCTTTGTTTTTTTTTTTTTTTTTTTTTTGTTTTTTGTCTTTTTTGGCTGACGCAGTCTTGCGACAAAGGCAATTCTCTTCTAATTTTTGGCTTAAAATTGTCAACGGGTATATTCTGTCGGTTCTTAGCAGAATACCCAGTGTCTCGAATATATTCTGAATATGCAAGCAAATAGAGAAACTATGCGGGTACCAGGAGGTGTTGCTGAAAATTTCTGCCAAAATCTGACCGAATGAGCAAATATCAGTTAGGTCTTTTATTATTTTGGAAGACTTCTTGGACTGGTAAGAATTTTTTAGTTTACTCTTATAAGGGTAAGTATCTTTAAGCAATGAATCTTCCCACTCCTTACTTTTTTCATTAGAAATAATTACTTTCCAAACGTAGACCTACTACGAAGCATATCTATCTGCTTCTTCTTCTCTTCCTTTTCGGGTACAAAAAAATTATTTTTCCTCTTCCTCCTCTTCTGCTTCCTCTTCTTCTTCATCGGGATTTTCTTCCTTTTCCTCTTCGGCAAAAATGCTTTTTCCTCTTTTTTTTTCTTCTTCATACAGATTTTCTTCCTTTTCCTCTTGTGGAAAAATCGTCTTCTTTCTTTTCTTCTTTTTCTTCTTATTTGTTGTTTATTCCCTTTCTTTGCCATAGTGATCTGCGTGTCTATCAATTCCTTATTATTGCTGCTATTCTTGTAGTTTTGATCACTGTTGTATTTCCTCCTCTTCCTCTGCCCCTTCTTCTCCTCCTCCTCCTCTTCTTCTTCTTCTTCTTCTTCTTCTTCTTCTTCTTCTTCTTCTTCTTCTTCAACGAATTATCTCACAACTTAATTCTCGCCCAACTCTTTCCCACATCGTTTCACCCGACCTCTTTCATAATCCCGTTCGTTCTCTTTTACGTTTTACTTTTTAGATATACAAAATCTAAACCTTTCACCTGTTTCCAACACATCCATTGGATCCTTCTTCTTCTTCTTCTTCTTCTTCTTCTTCTTTTTTCTCCTCTTCCTCTTTCCTCCTCTTTCTTATTCTTATTCTTCTTTTTCTTCTTTTTTTTCATTTTCCCCTTTCAACGAAATACCTATCTTTTTATTCTTCTCGCATTTCTTCCCCGCAGATCCATTGTTCCATTACTTGTCTTCTTCTTCTTCTTCTTCTTCTTCTTCTTCTTTGCAGTTTTATATATATTCACGTTTTTACACTACAAATCTTTTATTTCTTGATTCAACCAATCTACCCTAATGACGATAATACATTCTTGTAATCCATTTGACACTTTAATGTGATGAGGTTGCATCTGACAAATCGTTTGCCATAACTACAAGTTTGCCTGACCAGGACTTCTTGTATAAACTCTGACCTAAAGTCTGACCAGCCTTCTGTTGGTCTCCTGTTCTGTCACTACGTCATGTCTTGACCATTTGCCAGTCACTCAAGCCGCAAATTTGATTTACGGCCCCCTCTGAACCGATCCAGTACTGCTACACCTTCCCAAAGCAGTCAGTGGCTAACTTTTAAAAAGCTGACATATTTAACCCCCTTTCTGTTTATTAATTTGTTTATAAAATGTTTTCATTTGCTCAACAAGAGAGACGAAATATTCGATAAAACAAATTTACTAAATATGTATATATCTATGTTTATATATCTATATTTATGCCTCCCTATTCTGCTGCTGCAAGCTATGTATGTGTTTAACATAATATAAACATCAACCTCTACAGGACAATGTCGTTTCTCAAATCTTTACTCGACGACCATTAATATCCTATGCTATACCATATATCAGCAACAAACCTTTCTAATTCATCTCTCCATTTGGCAACTGATAGTTTTCTGTTTATATTTCTGAGAGATGAGGTATTATGTACACTATTTTCATGATTCGGACTATTGTTCTCATCTTTGTTGCCATGTTTATCACAACGTTTCGGCCGTTGGTTGGAATGTCGAACTGAACCCTTTATTTCTCTCGCTGGGGTAGACTGTTCTAGTTCCACGTTCCATGTCTAATGGGTGTCAGTTATCTCCTGTTAATTCCCCTCTCCAAGTTCTCCACTGCCTTAACCAGGTATTGAACTCACAACTCTTTTGGGTCCTGTCACTGGATCTAACCAACGCCTTTATCAGTTGTGCCATGTGATATTTTTCTACAGCGATTGTTATAAATAGGGTACTAGTCGAGCAACCTTTGGTTCCATCTGTTATCTTTTCTTTCTGCTGTGTATCTCGTCCAGTGCTTACGATGCCTTTTAATAACGTATGTGATATTTATTAGTTTGTTCTCTGAATATTGTTGGTATATTTTGTTTGAATTTCTGGGATGAAAGGTTATCATTATTTACACTATTTTTATTTGGACTATTTTCTTCATCTTCATACATACAGGTGTATATTTGAAGTTTGAGCCTCAAAAGTGAATTTTTGAAGCTTAAGTTTCGTTCAACTGTTCTTATATGAAGGTACTGTTAGTATTTACTGAATGGTCGTCAGAGACAGATTTTACTTTACTTTCGAAGCATATATTTTTCCACAGTACGTTTCATATTATTATTATTATTATTATTATTATTATTATTGCTTTATTTCCTTTGGTTTCTGGTGTAAGGTCAGAAAGTACATCATGACTGCGCAGTTTTGAAAAAAATCCCACATATTTTACATAGATAAAGCCCTTTGTAAGGTGTGGGCTGTACTTGTGAGTACAGTTTTTGTATTTTAAAAGCATGGGCTACCAGGGATTGCTTCAATGAGTCTATTGGAATCTTTTCCAATCAATCTGAGGGCTCCAACTACAACTGGAATTGTTAATGTCCTCATGCGCCACATTTTTGAGATTTCAACTCGTAATTTGATAGGTTTTTGAAGATCTTCAAAGATAACTTACAATCTGCAGGGACAGCCATGTCAATAAGAAAGCACATTTGGTTTTTGTGATCCCTGATCACAACGTCTGGGAGATTAGCTTTGATTGTTCTGTCCGTATGTATTATAAAGCCCCATAAAATTGTTACAGGTCCTATCTCCGTAACGGGGTCTGGATGGTGTCCATACCAATTTCTTGCAGTTTTCTTTCTGTAAAAGTTGCAGATTTTCCAGTGCAGCTATTGGCCCACTCTGTCATGCCGAATTTTATATTTCGTGAGTGTCAATACCACACAACCTGAGACAAGATGGTCAATTGTTTCTTTATTATTATTATTATTATTATTATTATTATTATTATTGAATGAGGGAACAGAACGACAACAATGTGACAGAGGGGTACAAATGTAAGTTCAATATGCTGATTGCGATACAATCTGATAAATGTCTCCAGGCGCATGCATCATAGTAAAATATGTGTGATACAATGGCAAAAACAGCACATTAACTTACAGGTGAGATTTAGTTAGAAATGCATTCATCTCAGGTAACACAGTCCGCTCAGACATACCCCATTTGAGCGTGCTCCTAAATAACTCACATATCACCATGACTGCTTCATCCTTCAAACTTAAAAAAAAATCAATCTCAGCGCCCAGGTATAATGTTTCTCTAAAACTCTCACTCATCATCAGAGATAAAGAACACGTCAGTCCATAGGAAATATTCTAAACTGGCTAAAGTCAGTCAGTTGACAAGCCTATTTGTGGTATATAATGAGATAGTAACTGTGGCCAATCTTAATACCCCAAGGAAAAAAAACATGCACATGTCATCAGGACCAATCAAATTAGATCAAATCTGTTGTTATTATTATTTTATAATTATATTCGGTAACTTCAGATTTCGACTCAACTCCATCATCGGAACCAAAATCTTTGAAGCCACCAGAAGAGAAAAAGAAATTCACTCGACAAGAGAAAAAAAGAAAGGCTCGTCAAAATCAAATTCGTCCTCCACCAACATTACCCTGCAATCAATGCTATCGACTCTTCCATGCCAGAATTGGTCTACATAGTCATCAACGTCATTACCATGAAGGGAGCGATGAGCAACGAAGCCGGCGATGACGGTAAGTTCAACGTTTCTGTTCTTTTTGTTTGGTTTTTTTTTTGGTTTTTTTTTAATTCAAGCATCTATATAATAAATGCGAATGTCAGTGTGTCATGATGTCACATTTTTCCAACTTTACTCGTCGAGGCCGTAGCCCAACTTATCATACAATTCTGGAATCAGGCCGACTCAGCAAATTAAAAACACTCTGGGTTCTAAAATTTTGGATTCCCAAGTTTTTATTACTGCCATTGTTTTCGGCGATGTTTTACGGGATTTTGTTTTTTGCGACGAATTTTTGTACAACAAGTTTTACAATTTGGACAAAAATTGGTAATAATTGAAATTAAATGCGAAATATAGCGAAAGTCACCCATGAAATAAAAATAACTGTTTGTATGTAACGTGAGGACCTACATGCATCAAACGATCTTTAAATTAAATGGCGACTGAAGAATTATCGTTGAACTTTTAAAAGATAAGCTTAAATATTAACGCAATACTTAAATGTAGTGATCAGTTTTGAGTTTTCCTGTAGTTTATTGTTGACTATCGCATCTACTCCTCTCAACCTATTGTGATGAGAGTCCAATCAAGAGCACTCCGTAGGAGCTAGCTTAAATGCCTCCCGAGGCTACAACCGGCACAGTGCTTATTTGATACTACTTATTATTTTTCAAAATATTTCTTGTCCCTATTATCAGAACCAGAACATTAATTAAAGTTATACAAAAATTCTAAGGTTGAAGCGGTACGTTTATATAGTTGAAAATGACTATTAAAGGACCACACTTGTATATGGTAGGAAGGAATATTTATGAAATAATGTTCAGTTTTTTATGCCGCTCCAGGAATTACCTGACTCCAGATGTATTTACAAGAGAGAGGGATATTAAACGTGAGAAAGAAAGAAAAAAAGAAAGAAGTGTTGTCGTAATTTGCAACCCATAGTAATCGAATTGTTAATCATCGTTCATATCGAAGAGGATGATTCAATAAATTCCGTAACCCTTCTTCCGCGCTGTGAGAAATTTCACCATCATGTCTCTTACGTCTTTGCTTGATTTGAGGTCAAGCCAATGTTTCCGGGATAATTACATGGGTCAGCAGAGGCCAGCAAACATCGTCTGTCCAGTGGCTTTGCTGGACATTGTCCTCTTTCCTTTCCGTTGCATCAGAGCAATCAGCTATTCATTTGGTCAGTTTGTAATAATGTCCGCTGTATCCGACCCCATGTCTTGCTCCTTTCTCTTCTCGTCGAACTGACGTAGATCAGGAACTTGAAGGATGATAGGAGCTTGTTTAATGCCAGAAAATTATATTAAAGCATTTGCTACATATGGTGTGATTTTGTGAAAAAAAAAAGGCTTTTCTTATTTACTATTGTTTATCTTGATACAAAACCAAATAAACATGAATTGATTTGGAAGACAGCATTTCACTTATTTAGCCATAACATTCAGTCGTTTAAATTCTACTTCGCTTTATTGTTTTGTTTACATGCTATGTAGCCTTCAGGACGTAGGTGATCATGGCTCCCCTAACATTCCTTTTCTCTATTATCAGTGAATTATCATGATTTCTTGGTAAAGATAATCGAGTCTCTCTATATTTCTGAGATGAGATATTATGTACAGTATTTACATTAGTCGGACTATTGTCCTCATCTTTGTCGCCATATTTGTCACAACGTTTCGGCCGTTGTACAGGTGGTTGGAATTTCGAACTGAACCCTTTATTTCGATCACTGGGATAGACTGTTCTAGTTCCACGTGCCATGTTTGATGGATGTCAGTTATCAGTTATCTCCTGCTAATTTTCCCTCTGAAAGTTCTCCACTGTCTTAGCCAGGAATTGAACTCACCTTAATCGAGTCATTTCTTATTACTTAATCTATGATTTTGAATTAAAAATTGGCCCTCTCCTTGACTGTCATTCAGCCAAAGCTCGGAAATAAAGTCTACTCTGCTAAGAAATAATTTTTGCTAAGAAGGAGAATTTATTTATTTTTTGTTAATGCCATTTGTGCGAAAATAAACGCAACAGACTAAGACGAAATTTTAACAACGTCACCTCATATCTCTATCCCCGCTAATAACCGCTCCCCTTAGCCGTACATTGACCGGCATCGACCTCTAAAAATGTCGACTTACTTACTAAACTAAGGTATTATTCTTCATCTTCTTTCCGTGTTGTGTCTCCCTCAGGATTTAGGCTATCATGACTCTCCAACATTCCCTGCACC